GTGTTGAACAGCAGATCAAATAATGCTGGCAGCTGTTGTTTCCAAAGCACTTAAGCTAAGCACTGCTCATTGTTGTCTGTCTTTCTTCTCAGGTTATGGACATGCAGCGCCGGGGACGGATGCGGGAAAGGCTTTCTGCATGTTTTACGCCGTCCTGGGGATTCCTCTGACTCTTGTCATGTTCCAAAGTCTGGGTGAGAGGATGAACACTTTTGTTAAGTACCTCCTGAAACGTATCAAAAAGTGCTGCGGCATGAGCATCACAGACGTGTCCATGGAGAACATGGTGACGGTGGGTTTCTTCTCCTGCATCGGCACATTGTGTATCGGTGCTGCAGCTTTCTCCCATTATGAGGACTGGAGCTTCTTCCAGTCCTACTACTACTGCTTCATCACATTAACAACCATAGGCTTTGGGGACTTCGTGGCCCTTCAAAAGAACCGGGCCCTCCAAAAGAAGCCCCTGTATGTGGCCTTTAGCTTCATGTACATCCTGGTGGGCCTGACGGTCATCGGGGCGTTTCTCAACCTGGTGGTCCTCCGCTTCCTGACTATGAACAGTGAAGATGAGCGGCGGGATGCTGAAGAACGAGCCTCGCTCGCAGGCAATCGGAACAGCATGATCATCCACATCCAAGATGAGTCTCTGCAGCGGGGGCAACGGCGGCGCGAGCCGTACAGGGGGGAGGTGACTGATCTGCAGTCTGTGTGCTCATGCATACACTACCACCCGCATGACTATGGCAGCTCCGGGGGAGGGATGGGAGGCCTGGGCTGTGCCTTCTCCCATCAGAACTCCTTCAGCCCCCAGCTAAATCCCAATCAGTTCTTTCACTCAGTTTCCTACAGGATTGAGGAGATCTCACCCAGCACGTTGAAAAACAGCCTCCTCCCATCGCCCATCAGCTCCATATCTCCCGGCCCTCACAGCTTCACAGACAATCACCAGCTCACGAGGAGACGGAAATCTGTCTGAACCTCGAACATTTCCAAAGCTGCTCCTCAGCAGATCTTATTTTAGCACTTTTTGTTCCTGATTTGGTTGTTACAAAAGTATTTCTGGAAAACAGACAGAATGGGATGCAAAAGCATGAAGCATGGATGTCTATTTTTTCAACAGATTGCTCCATGAAATTAAAATAAAAACACTACCTGAACTCTGAGACTCGAATACATTTACACTGAAATTCATATACAAACTTTGGTTTCATACCAAATAATGCACACAGGGGAAATACTATTTTTCAAAGGGAGTTTGCTTGTTTCACTTTAACTTGAATAAATAATTGTTATCATGTATTATTCCATTGCATCACTGCAGACAGAGAATTTAAACTAACTTCAAGCATCAGGTTTTGTTTTCTAAAAGCAATCATTTAATTTTATGATTTCAGCTCACATTAATCCAAACTGTTGCCATGTTAGCATGTCAATTAGATGTCTTTACTATTCTGTCATTGGTTTTGTGACTATTGTCTTTTTTAAAAAGCAAATGTATAAATGTCTTTGTCTTTAATTCAAAGGACCACACTGATGCCAATGATTTTTCTGCTGATCTAGACTGACTGAATTGGGCCCAAAATGTTTAATTCCACCCACAGATTTTTTGCATATAAAAGAAAGCAACACAAACGTTTTGATGTCCACTCATCCAGTAGGGCAATTGTGAATTTTCCTCATATGAACAATTAAAAACTTAATCATGTTTTTTTATATATCTGTTGGGATAACTCAGACACACTCATAAAATAATGAGAAATGTTGCACAGGCTTTTAGTTATTTTATAAGCAACAGTTGTGGGGACACAAACAAATTGTTTTACCCTCATTATCCATGGCTTCCATCCAACTGTGAGACAATACAGAAGGAAGTTTAGCTACATCAAGCAAACACCCGGTGATGAGTTCACTTTATTTCATGTAAGTCCACACTCCGTCAGCTCCCCACTGAAGACACAGCTCAACACAAGCTGCACACAGACACTAACATGATCTTTGCTAATCCTATGTGCATATTCTACTGTTTAAACAGAAGTGGAAGGACAGATTTGTCTCCCTATGTAACAGATAAAACTACCTTCTCTTTGATTTTAAATCAAATTTGAAACATCACAGGCCAGGTCCTCAACTACTAACTTGTTTAAAACTGAGTTCATATTAACAGACCAATTTTAACAAAAAAGAGTCAAAGTAACAGGTGGTACCCTGATGCCCCCCATGGACGAAGGATTTGCACATTGTCTGTTGTTTTTGAGGTGAGTGTTTTCTGGACTGGAATTAAACAGGGAATGCAAGTAAACCTTAATGGTTTTGGTGCATGATATTCTTGTGGGTAGAGCTTACAAAGAGAAGAAGAACAGAGGTAGTTTTTTCTTTGCTTGTCCAAGGCAGAGCAGAGTGATGGATCCTTGTGAGTGCATGGGGCAATTTCACCAGGCACAATGGCGGAACCAGGGGGTGGACAATGGTGGCCTTGAATAATCTTTGGCCACTCAAGTCATTTGAGGAAACTATACCTTTAAGCAATATAAAAATTAGAAAGCATAGTTTCCTCAACTGTGATGGACTTGCGACCTGTCCAGGGTGTACCCCGCCTCTTGCACAGTGACTGCTGGACATGGGCACTGGTAACCCCCATGACCCAAAAAGGAAGAAGCGGTTAAATTAATGGATGGATGGATGGATGGATGGATGGATGGATGGATAGTTTCTTGAAATGATAGGGGTTGCCGGTTCACATATATATTTGACGGCATGTTGGATTTTGACATAGTAATCCTATTTTCAAAAGGAACCTTTCTTATGCCTAGATATAGCCACACAGCAATATGTCAAAAAAACTTGAAAACTCATCTTGGAAACTACAAACTTTCACTGATCAAATCTCTCAGCAATAGGGGACATCAGCGGACCACTTGTTTATACTGACTGGAACTATAAACCATTAAGGAAAAGCAGAATATTAAAAAGATAGTCCTGTCAATTTTGAAGTGATGTTCCATCCTTGGCCCTTTTCTCAACACTCTGTGACTTATCTCATAGCTAATGAGGTACTGCACATTGATAACTATTGACAGAACTTGGCTTCAAAAATGTCAGGACCATCCCTGTAATTTGATCATTTTTATAAGACCTGTGTACCATGTGGGTTGGTTTTCTTTCAGACCATGGTTCCGTGAGATGCACAACCCAGGCTAAAACCGTTCGACCAGAATTGGGAATGTTTTTTTTGTTTTCAATCTACTTCACATTTTCTTGAACAAACTTTTATCCTTTAGAATTTGTTCAGGTTAATTCATAAAACTGTTTGTCAGGACTGGAAGCCGAGAAGAGTGTTTCTTCTTTTTGTACGATTTCACACTGATTTTTTGTTGTTGTTTGTTTTTTATAACCTTTCAGAGCCAGACCTAATTTGTTGGGGAAAAAACCTTTTAAGGAAACCTCTTTGACACTTCCAGTTAAATTCTGTTCAGTATTCTTTGCAGCTTAACATTTAACAAATTTACATTTATTTCCTGGTTAACTAAGCATACCACACAAGTTAAATGGTCCCATTGGGGTTTAATTGTAAAATGCCTTGAATCCCATTCACTACTGACCAAACTTAAACAAGCATGTTATCCAGGATGAACTTGACATACAGTACATTGCTTTATTATTGGAACTACCCTAATGTCCTGATGCATGCTCAATAATCCAGGTAAATTTAACAAGGTTGAGTTAGGTCCTCTGGAAGGATTATTCTTTGTTGAAACATTCGTATTTTATCTAAAATACTTGTTTCTTCACATATGGGGGGTAATATAGGCAGAAACATGGGTGTGCTAAACAGTTTGTACTATTGTTGCAAATCTGTACATGGAGGAGGTAGAAAAGAGATCTTTGACGTCCTTTTCAGGGATAGCAAGTTCACATGAGAAGTGAAAAAAAAAATGGCAGGTTGGCTTTCTTGGACTGTGAGGTCTCAGTTTCTGATAGAGGACATTTGCAAACTGAGGTGTACCACAAACCCACCCACACAGACCAGTATTTGCAGTTTGACTCCCATCACCCTTTGGAGCACAAGTTAGGAGTCATCAGGACTCTGTACCACAGAGCAGACAGCATCCCCACTAACTCAGGTGCCAAGCAGAAGGAGAAATCCCACACAAGACAGGCTCTAGAGCAATGTGGATATCCTAACTGGGCCTTCCTGAAAGTAGAGAAGAAACCCAAACAGGACTCCAGTCAGCCAACAGGTGAAAAGGAGGAACCCAGACCCAGACCAGTGGTCATTCCATATGTTGAGGGAGTATCAGAGAAACTGAGACGTTTATTTTCTAAACATAACGTCCCAGTGGCTTTTAAACCCCAAAATACATTAAAGACTGGTTCATCCCAAAGCTCCAGTCCCCCGGCACAAACAGAGTAATGTTGTGTATGCTGTTCAGTGTCAGGAGGGTGATCAGTCTTACATCGGGGAAACTAAACAGCCACTGGCCAAAAGGATGGCCCAGCACAGAAGATCAACATCATCAGGCCAGGACTCTGAGGTCTACACTCATCTCCAGGTCAGCGGTCACTCTTTCAGGGATGAAGATGTTCACATCCTGGACAGAGAGGAACGATGGTTTGAGAGAGGAGTAAAGGAGGCCATCTTTGTGAAAAGAAATGATGGTGCTCCTTGATCATGTGAGCAGCTGGTTCAGGATGTCACCAGTAAATTGGTCGATCCACTATGGTGGAAGGTGCTGTTTATAAGACTAGGTGTGTTGCAGTTCCTCAGACTGAAGAAATCTTTTGGATAAAATGTGAAACGTTTCAACAAAGAAGAATCCATCCAGAGGACCTGACTTCACTTTGTTAGATAATTTAATCTTAAAGATCAACAACAACATGTTTCCAAAAACAACTGGAATAAAAAGTTGTGTTTTTACATTTAAGCATACTGTATGTGCCTTGAAGAAACAACAGTCAAATGTTTGTAGTCGTAAAGTAATGTTTAAATAAGAAGAATGCAGGTCCATTTGGGCTTTACCATCTCAGATACAAGGTGTGTTTAGGCCAGAAGGACCAGATCGTACGTCCTTAAGAAGCACTGGTAAACAGGTAAATAACACAGATCTGTTGCATCAGCAGTTTACTCACAGCAGAGCACACTAAATCATTTTGACTTTGTTTGATCACACTTTAATGGACTTAAAAGTTTTTATGTTGCCTTGTGTTTTGTTTTTCAAGTTTCACTAATCACATTTTATCTAAAACACTGAACTAAAAGAGGGAATTAATGTTCTTTTAGGAAACAAGAACTTCACTCAACGTTTGAGTCAGATAAGCCAACCTGTTTAAAGAAAAACACCTCCCCCATAATAAAGCAACAAATCTCATGGAAGGACTAAACATATTGTCCCAAAAGATTTATATATTTTGCCTTGAAAGTCAGACTGTCAGACTGTAGGAGCAAAGATATCTTAGGAAAACAGTTTTAAAACACAGTATGTGGTTGTTCTCCAACCAAAAACGTGTTTGAGCCAGAATAAAATCCCAAATACAGTGAATTCATTCCAAACACATGTTACATTTACATACTGTACATTATGAATTGATGAAGCAAGTACACGGCAACAGTGGAAACAAACGACTCCTTTTTAACAAGAAGAAACTTCTAGCAGAACTGGACTCAGGACGAGCAGCCATTAACTGGCTGGTGTTGAAAGGTCAAGAAGGAAACAGACAAACAGTGAGACAGCTGGTCCAGGTATGGGTTTTATGGAAAGAAAAATAAAGGAACCAGCAGTTAATGGCAGCAATAATTACAAATACAAACATGGAGAGTAGAGAGAGCAGCAACATGAGGGGATGTGGTCAGTTTGTCCTCCAGCAGCCTAAACCTATAGCAGCATAACTACGAGACAGCTCAGGAAACCCAAGCCGACCCTAACTATAGGATTTATCAAAAAGGAAAGTCTTAAGCCCAGTCTTAAAAGTGTAGGAAGCAGAGCGTCAGTCTCACAGACA